CCTTAATATAATTATAATATTCATTACAAAAATTAAAAATGGATATAACATTTAGTATTTTTTTTTAGAGTAATTGTAAATTAAAATTGACAATAAAGCATAACTAAATCAGTCGAACAAAACATATAATTACAAACATACGTTCCTAGATATTTTTTATCATCTTTTACAGTTGTTAAATTGAATGTTCTAAGCTATTATAACAATAAACGCACAAGTGTGGAATATTCAACAGTATATTTGCATTTATAATATTCTTAGTGGTAAATGTTAACTAAACAATATACGTACTAATTTATCTATAAAATCGTATTTAGGTACATGCATTTTATTCTACTCGTATGTACGAATAATAACAGTTATAATAATACGTGAGTACTGAGTAGTATAATATAATAAACTATTCACTGTATAATATAACACGATTCATGATGAAATTAAATTGCAAATAAAAACAGCGTTAGCATGAGATGGTATAGTAATATATCCAATATCTACCATTAAAGCTACTTAAAAAAAAAAAAGTTTGATATTTTCACATTTTTCACATTAACATACTTATAAAAAATTAATTAAACCAATAAAGCAACATCATAATGTAGACTTTCAGACATCGGAAAATAATTACTAATCAGTAAACTAAGTCTAATAATTTTCGGTATACCGATGCTATAACCGTTATATTTTGGTAAATAGTATAGTGATATGGGCACTATTTTTAATCTACTTTTCTTTCATTACTTCTTAAATATTAAAAATTATAGTAACTGTTGAACTTAAATTTTTTTTATAAATTTGATTATATCTATAAATGTGAGTTTTAATTAAGTATATAATATATTCATGAATATGTGAACAATTAAAATTAAATTTCATTTTTTATAATTATACAATATTTGTTTGACAAGAAGTTAATGTGTTAAAAAAATCATGAAATAAAAGTATTTTTAACAAAATATTTTAACATAATATTATAACCTTAGTCAAATTAAAAACTAATTTTTGTTTAACAAATTTTACTATTTTTATACTTTTTAAGGCAAGGCTAATTTAATTTATAGTAAGTTGGTTTTTAGAAATAAATATTTAAACCTAAGTTGTTAATGTTGGATATAATATTAATTTAATTAATAATCTCAGTTTATACTTTATAATTTTAAATTTTAAAGAAAATTGTACTGGTAGAAAAGAGAAGGGTACATTTTGGCTGAAAAAGTAACAGTACATTTTTACCAAAAAGGGTAACGCCCAATGGCATATATCATTATTTCTAAAGGAATGTTAACTAGATAATATGATACAATAAACAAAATATGTTAAAACGACCAAATATGCCCTACATTAGCGTTCTGCTTTTACCAGACGTGTCAAGCTCAAGTACAAAATTTTTGAGCTTAATATATTAGAGTATTGCAAACTATAATTTATTATTATGTATTGTATTAACGTGAAACCATTTTTAGCCATATCCGTCTACTACGTATCATCTGTCAACGTTAATATTATCTTTCGTTATTTTTGAAATTGAATTATTTAAAATATAAATGTAATTTTTATTAAATTATATGTAAAATAAAAAAATCAAGACTCCACTTATAAGTTGAAAATCAGAAGAAATAATACATTTAAAATAATGTTGGCTATCGTTCATTAAAATTAAATATGTTTTTTATTAATGCAATTTATTGTAAGTGCAAAAAAAAATATTAAGTAAATAGTCATAAAGCGTTTTCTATCCGTCTTAATGCATTAGAAATACATATCTTTCAATAAAAATAATAAATGAATTAAATACTTATGTGATAAGTAAAGTAAATATATTGTATTTTTTTTAGCTATTATTATTAACCAACTCTCAATCGTTCAGTTTAAGTGAACACAAAAATGCATAAGTTACATAAGAAAAAGTACATTGTAGTACACATTAATAATATTATTTCTAAAATAACGATTATTTGGCCAATTTCATTATTTTTGTAATAACTTTGTAGCCAATTAATCATAATATATTGAAAGTTTTGTCAATTTCAATTGGCTTTTTGCAACATTTTATCAATGATTATGGATTATAATTTCGTATACAGTTTTACTTTTAGCTCTAATGTGTATATTCTGTTTATTCATCCATAAACAATGTTCACGTATTACATGACAGACAATACAAACGGTTCAAAGGCGGTTAAGGTCGATGTACATGGGCTATTATTTCCCCCCATTGTTTGACCACCATGCAATTAATAATATCGTAGCTACCTATATGGTAATTTCGATGTTGATTGGAAATGACAATTAACACAATTGGAACAATCAATGGACATCTTTTAAGTCAAGTGTGATGATTTAGTTTTGACTAGAGGAGGGTCTGATATAAAAAAAAAAACCCACAGAGGACGCGAAATATAATATGGCTATTGGCTATATAGACTCGTATTTCGTTCATTTGTGTAATATCAAAATATTAATTTATTATTTATTACTTGTTTTCAAATTTAACACAAACTTGAAATATAAACCATAATACAATATAATATCCACTTTTATAAACGTATATAGGTACATTATAATAGCACGACAAATGTTTGTAGTTGCATTTTATTATTATTTTTTACACTCAAGATGAGAGTTGTAAATCCTCGTCTAAAAATACACAGCGTGTGTGTATGTGTGTGTGTGTGTGTGTGGATGAATACTAATTGCCATAAAATTATATATTCAATTTGTGAATAATATCTAAAACTGGAAAGCATTTCAGTTTAAATATCATACTCCAGCCCGAGGAGATGAACCACACTGTGTGCATAAACAGACGGGATATGAATAGTACCAGCTAGAACTACGTGGTCGCAATACTCTATTAGTTGGATTTATGCGATCTGAATGGAAAATATATTATTAGAATTTGCACTATAGTCAATGTCTCTTGGGTTCCACCCAAAACCTTATCAGCTAGTCCTTGTTCTTGTCTAGTCATTTCATAGCAACAATCAACGATCACGATAAGAGGTCAATGAAGTGTACTTATATGTATTAGCAGATAATATTAGTATATCGCTGTATAAATATTTCTGGTACATTTTGTTCTCAAAAATCGTATTAAATACACTCATAAAATAAACAAATTTATGATAAATTAATTAGTAGATTTATAACATATAATTTGTAATATTTCAGGAAGGTGTAGGTACCTAATACCTTAATCCTATAGCAATTGTTTTTTATCTTTACAACTGTATTATTAATTACTTAATACATTTTGAATTTGTCATAAGTATTATTTTTGCCAAGAATTTAAACAACTAAGAGTATTCAATGTTTTTAAAATATTGTATTTTATATGAATTTGAAATCATGTTTTAGTAGAAGTGTTGCTCCATTTAACGATTATTTAATATTTTTATATATGCACAAAACTATTTGAAAATATATGAATATTATACTTAAGTTTTTTAGTGAAAAATTAAAAAAATATATACATTATGCATTATACAAGGAAAATGTCTTGTCGGTATAATGTGTAGGTTCAAAAGAATATTAAATTTGATTACATTATAATATTATAAAGCAACTCTTTTTCATTACAGTGTTGTAACTTCAAACGAATAGTCTAATCGTCAAACTCTAATGAACTGTGTCATTATTCATTTGAATTATAATAATTATCCCACGGTATCTAATAACTGAAATGCTAATTTAAATTAACATATTTATAAATTTGAAAATTACAGATGATTTTAATTAATTGCTAATTTATATACTACACTAGTTGTTTTGAGGTTTTTTTTTTGTTTTAAATGTCTTTTTTTATTTTTATCATCTTATAATAATGTATTTGCATTGAACTGTCAAATGCAAACATTTTGCTATGATCACAAATATGCGTTTGAATTTTTAATTATAGTTCATTAATTTAAAAATAATATAAGCCTAATAGAGATTGACATAAATTAACCACGTAATTATATACTAAATTCAATAGTTATTATATCAATCTAATTATTTATATTACGTATGATACATTGATGTGTTCACTAATAAGTAAATACGGTTCAAATGAATCCAAGATTATCATTTTTACTATTATTTATGTTTTTATATTTTTCTTTTTGTGTCTAGAGACACTTTTTAACTAGAAAAATATTTCAAACATCAATAATGAAAATATTTTCAACAAAAATACTTGAAACTATCATAATATTTTTTACTAGAAATTATATATTTATTTAATACTTTGAATATTTTTAAGCTATTTATAAATATTTATAATTTTTAACTTTTTTCGATTTATTATGTTAACATTTTTGTCTAAATTAAAATGCTTGAAAATGTATTAAAAGTTCCTAGGAAGTTTTTTTATAGCAATTTTAAAATATCAAACATACATAATTATTATACACACTTTGTCGTAGATATTTTAAACGAAAAATAACAATTTTGTTTTCTAAATATTTTAGTTATTTTGTAGTAGTTAAATTTTTTTACACTAGATGTATTATAATTTTGTATACACAACAACATTTTTAAAATATTTAAGCTATTTATATTACTAACCTATTCATGTCATTTTTATAGGTATCTTACAGTACTGACTTTTAACTGTTGATAACAATTATACATAAAATATATACAATGATTTTGGTAAAAATTATTTGCGATATGCTATTTTACTAATGAAAAAAAAATTCTTTGAAATAAAGACTAACTCATCGTTTCTGTTAAAAATATTACACTTCCAATACAATGAACTACATAGTGACAAAAAGTTCTCTCAAAATTCACTATACAACAAAGAAATTTAACCAATTTTTTTAATTTTTTATTAAACCTTATTCTAATTTCTAAATTAATAATTTATTTATTAGTGAATTTATAAGCTTATTAATCAATTTATATTTTATAACTATGTTAATTTTACTTTTTATACATATATTTATCCACTAAATTAAGTTTTTATATTGACGCAATTGTCAATTAATTATAATTGATAATGTTTTTTTTTTCAGCGGCTCTCGTGAGTAGTGGTGGTGCTATTTATCCGATTGGCTGGGATAATAGAGAAGTGAAAGAGTCCTGTGGGAACATATCTGGACCATATAAACTAGGTAAGAGTACGTTATCTCAAATTACATTGATGTAAAATATAGCCATTCTCAAATTTTACAATATTATAATATGCGCTCTACAATTTTAGCACTTGTACAATATTCACTTATCTATTTTGCGTGTATTAAGCCTGTTTTATTTAAAAGGAGATATTTAATTCCCAGACTTAATTAAATTTTCTCAGTATGAATTGGTAATAAAATATGTTTTCATAAAATATATTTACGAGACTAAGAAAATTATTTATTATTATTATTGGCAAGAAATCTTGTAGAGATGATATAGATGACATAAATAATAACGTCTATTTCAGAATAATCGTGATTGATTCTTTTTAACGATTTGAACTAGAATATAATTAAATAAATAGAGCAGCAGTTTTTTTTTTTTTTTATTAACTACACAGAAATAAATCTGTTAAAATATAATTAAAAAAAAAAAAAAATAATAATTTAAAATTATTGTATACATGTTTTAGTCACAAATATATAATATTATATTTAATGTATGTATTGTCACCAGGATTTGATAAATTTTAAACTAGAATTTTATAACTATAGCATTATGTATTTTAATTTGTTGTTTATTACCTCTAAAATTTCATACTTTAAAATTTTAAAACCGATTAAAGTTAAAATTTAACTAAGAATAACTACATTGATTTGTATTTAAATTTTAATTACAATTTTTAACATGAATGATATTATCTTAAACTGTACAATTTAATTCTTAACATCTTTAACAACGTTAAACTATAGTCTTTTTTTACCATTTATCTCTTAACTCCATCAGTTTTAAATACCTTTTACAATGACATTTAATTTCGAAGCCATTATAAAATCAATATAATTTAATTTAAAAACGATACAAAGAATAACAAACAAATTTAAAATGACTGTTAATTTTTGATCTTATACAGACTTTCACAACTGTAGACCCTATCAATGGTATTTTATCAATAGAATAATAAATGATGAAGTATAGTCTATAGATAAATACAAATAATTAAATTAACCTATAAAAAAATAAATAAATACAAATTATCACATTAAAAATTGGACCATTTGTACTCATATTTATAAAAAAATATTATGTTATAACAATTTAATATAATTTTCAATCGGTAAAATAATGTGAATTTTATTCACGTTTATATAGGCATATAGCTATAGTATAAATATAAATATTATATATTACATAGTCTAAGAAAATCGTTGTTTTGAAAATGGTGATAGTAGTGTGATCATAATGTCCATAATGTATACATTGTCAAATTAGTCTTCATTCTCATACAAAGTTTAATATTTAAAATATTTTCATATTTCTAGTAAATAGTTAACTATAAAATATTTATTGTAAATACGTTTTTTTAATCAAGATTCAAAGTAAAATCGTACCTGTATAATATTAGACTCAGCTTTTCTTTTTTTTTTTTTTTTTTATATAAAAGTTAGCACTTATTCTACTTTTGATATCTCATAGTAGTTATTACATATTATAATATTAATATCATAAATCTCAATCTTAAAATTACCAATGCATTTTGTCATCGAATATAGAAAGACTTGAGGTACATACCAACCATTACCGTCATTAATTGCATTTATTTTTAGTTAGGTTAACGAAACCAATTCTGTGGTAAGACATATAAACATAACTCATCATGATAAACTTCAATTTCTAAAGACGCCGTCACCTATTCAAACTATTTATAAGTTTTTTCACAGCTTGCAAGTTACATATTGCTTAGTATAGGAAAAAACCCACCATCATGGAACTGTACTGTGTAGTTGGGGTATAATTGAAAATTTAAAAAAAAAACAATACTGGAAAAAATAAAGTTCAACAAAATCAAAGAGTAATTCGATAATGTCCTACAAATTCAAAAAAAAAATGAATTATGTTTTATATCATAAAACATAATGTTTAAACATTATGTTTTATTATCATAAGTGTTTATTAAGATTGCATTTCTAATTTAAAAATATCAAAAATCCCTATGCATATACAAATATATGTATCTATTATTCGTTCATTACATCTGCAGTTGATTTCATATCTTCAAAAACTAAGGAATTTTAATTTGTTAATTTAAAATAACTACATGATTTTATTACCGTATGGAAACTAAACAAAAAGTTTACAAAACCTTTTCAATCTCAATGACCTATGTTGCTATTTTTCCTATAATACCTACTTAAAATATGCACTTTTATTTTTTAAATTATGAGAGAAATGGAATAATGTTTATGTTGATACTATGTTATATTGTTATGTATACTTTTATAATATTATATAAATCTATTTTTTACTTTTTTTTTCTTATTATTTTTTAACTTCTCTAGTTTTACCCAAAAAAAATAAACTACAATATTAAATATTTAAATGGGCTTATAATATTAAGTAGAGCTACATTTCAAGTAGAGTTACCTATTATCACATGGAGCATTGTTCTATATTTTACACCTATGACTTTCTTCGTATATACAATCAGATTATGTACATGCACAGTTTTTATATATTATTTTCAGCTTATAATAATTATATCATCGAGTTTAAAAATATGATTACTTATAGTCTAAATTTGCTTCAATATTAATTAATAAACTATTGGAATTTATTTAACATAAACAATAAAGTAATACTTTGATTTTTTTTGAAATATCATAGTTAATAGTTAACTAGTTCATACATACTACGATTCGTATATTTATTAGTCAAATATTCTATTTAGGTTACAAATGTAAATATAAATAAAATTAAATTTGAAATGTACATTTTATAACGTATCCCATAATACATAAGCGTTAAATTAATTCAATTTATATATTTGATATAGAAATAACCAATCTTAGTATCCTCGAATATCATTGATCAAATACATCAAATACGCATACCTCTAGGGTATTGCTTCTCATAGTATTACTATTTGAAACAAATCATGAAATGTATACAGAATAAATATAATTGAATATATAGTAAAATATTATAATATATAGTTAGGTTTATTATATGCACAAAATTTTAATAATATTATCAAATATGTATTATACTATAATGATTATCAATTCAATCAAAATACACTAATAATTATCCGTAATACGAGTTATTGTATTCAACTATAAAATAATATAATGTAGTTGTTGTGTAAAAGTTAAAATAAACTTACATGAGTTATACTTAAATAACTATTATTTTTTAAAATTGCATACATATTATGAAATATAATTATAATTATATATAGATTATAATTAAAAATTTTATTTTATTTTATTTTATATATATATATTGTACACATTAAAAAAAAATGAAATTCATTAATTTTAAGTAAAAAGTATCTTGGTATATTTTATGAAAATATTCAACTGATTTTTACACTTAGCCAGCAGGTCGATAATTACTAATTAAAATTAAAATGTTAATAAAATATTTTAAAAATATTTTGCGTTTTCAATAATGAATACTTCATTATAGTCACCTCCATAATTAATTTGTAAAATGTACTTGATGCAGTGTACATTGCTGTCAATAACGCTTATAGCATTTTCCCTTTAAGTTTATTAATAAACTAAACTAATAAATATTTTTTATAGCTGATATTAACTTATTCATAACATATTTATTATAAATATACTTGGTAATTTAATTAACTAATACATTATAATATACATAATTTACATTACATTAAAATGTAAATTCTGAAAGAAAAAAATGCATATTTTTTTAAATTTATATTAAAATTTATTTTTCGCTGTCACAATAGAAAATAGTAAAGTGATTTTATATTTTTGTACTAAAACTTATAGACATACGAATATTATAAAAATTTAAAGAGAACAGTTATCATTATACTGTGTAAATATGGTTTAATTTAAAATTTTCTTTAGCTACAATATTTTTTTCTCATGCCATACACTTAAATTTGTAAATATTTTCTGAAAATATAAACGACATCATTTTTAACATTTTAATAAATCCAAAAACATTTCACATCATGCAATCAAATTCGTGTTTCATATAAAAGTCTTAAAATATTTCTACCATCTCAAAAACCATTTATAACTATACACAGTTTATATAAAAGGATAAAAACTATTGAATAACCACTTTGATCTGCTCAAAAACTTAAAACAATATTGTATCAAAGGACTAGAAATTATACGCATGACCACCCTTAGAATTTACAAGAAAATAAATAAAACGAACATAATTGTGAGGCTTGGTACGAAAATAATTGACAAGCTTAACATAGATTTATACTTACATAAGCATCTTTAAAATACTTATTATTTTACCATGCATAATATATTAATTGATTTAAAATATAAATAAGCTTCAGATAAATTTTTTATCTTGCGATGGAAACAGAATAAATAGTTTCTTTAAAATACATAAAAAAATCATATCAACTGATAAGATGGACAATATTATATCTCCAAGAATCAAATTAAGAGTATAAGTAGCTATGAGCATGGAACAAAAAAAGCCCTAGGGTTTCCTGAAAGTATTACTGTTCTCCTTGGCTTTTCACCGTGATAGTTATTAACTTAATACATAGTAAAGTATATTCGCTGCTTTATTTTTAAGAAATTCCTGGTAACTTCTACATGAAACATAACATTTTAAATTTTTGAAATAATATTACATCTGAAACTGACTTTACCTTTTTTTTTTTTTTTTTTAACGTGAGACCCCAAATTCAAGTAAAAAGCGCCAAGCCCGGGGCCTAGCCCACTCCTTTCATTCCAGAAACGGGACTGATTACACGTAAATAGCCGGATAACCGTACACCCTTACAACAATATATTATAAACAGCGTGTTCAAATATAATATGATTAAAGTCCTATAATGGTATTATTCTACCACTGATACGGTAGGCACGCGACGATTTTCACTCGAACCGTTGCAGAAGAAGTGAGATAGAAATAGAGCGAAGTATTGTTTAAACTTAATTCAATATTACCTATTTATAATGTAATCGTCGCACGTCGTACTTGAAACATCCAATGTTCCTTGTAACGCGGATATAATCCTACTTGTAATTATTATTTTTCGTTTGTTTATTCAAAGGAACGTGTCATCTGTCGTGGTCCGTGTACATGTTGGGTTCTTCGGTGGCGCTACTCTTGTTGTGCTTTTACCTGAGCTTCTACTCGTCCCGCGACAGCCCGGGCAGTTCATTTCGTTCCATCTGATGAGTGCACGCTCAGGCCACAGCATCCTCATCCGCACATGACCCAGGATATGCCGCTGGCCATTATTTCTGTCGCACATGAAACGCACGTCGCAAATCTCCGTAACAACGACGACGACGATGACGACAACGAAACACAATTCAAACCAACCATTATCGCTCATTGTAAACTCTGAAACAATAATAATATTAAACTGTATTATATCGCATTTCGTATTTGTTAAAAATCAAAAACCAACAGATACTTATGATATGGTTATGATAGGTAAGTGTTATTGTTCGATAATAATTATTACTGAACATTGAAATGAATATTGATCATCACCTATTTTTATCCTATTTTTCTGCCTATTTCGCATCAACATAATATGGGGGTACAGTCAATTGGTCGTATGAATTTGGTCGTCTGAAATTAGTCGTTTGGTAAATTGATCATTTAGAAAATGAATCTATAAATATACAATTAGTATATATTAGTAATAAAAATAATATTTTACCGTAATTTTTCTTAAAATAATTTGTAGTAATATACGTGAAAATTTAAGTTATAAGAAATAATATGTATGAAAAGTATTATAAGTTATGAGCGATCTCTGATATATATTCATCAATTTATGTTCTTTTATTAAATGTTTCATATATTTTATTTATCTTCTCAGTGGTGTCATTATATAACTTCCGTTTTCTAGGAAATTCTGTTCCAGTACAATATTGGACCATTTTCAGACGGTTTAGCCTGACAGTTTAAATGTGTACATGCTGTTATTCAACTTATTATCACAAAATGTATAATAATGATTATTGTCAATTTTTACCTATATATTATAGCGTTTTTAAATCAATATTCATGTTTTGCAACGAAAATATACTTCGACCAGTTTATCTAACAACCAATTTACCAAACGACCAATTTCAGACGACCAATTGACGTTAACTCCATGATACGAGGAATATTATTGCATACATACAATTATATGTCATTATTATGATATTGTCCTATTCTGTGAAAAATTACTGTAAGTATTGTATTGTGTAGATATTACATGTCATTGAATTTAATAGTAACAATAGTATTCATTCAACTTAAATTAAAACAGTCTTAAACATAAACCGTGTTTTTATACTTAAGTATTCTTTCGGTCAGTTATTGTACAGAAAATAGAGATTGACAACCAAGAATGGCATTATGACTGCGATATAATAATAGGTGTATTATGTATATTATTGTTATGTAAATAACTGTTATTAAAAATTTAAATATTTCATTTGAATTTGTATTATTTGTATTTATTTTTTTTTTTTTTTTTTTTTTGTGTGTGTGTTTTTTATATTAAATGATATATTGCATTATTAGAATTAGACTACCTATATTTACCAAAATTAGAAAATGTTGATAATTTGAACCAATAGTTAAATTTAATATAAAACATTCTAAACGGTTACCCTGCAATATGAACATCTAATAGTGCAGAAGTTATTATTGAAATGTTATTATTATTATTATATAATTACTTGTACTGTTTAATCAATATTATATCTATATATATTTTTTTTTCTTGTATATATCATAGATTTAACTGCAATTTATTAAAATGTGTTACAGTAAGTTTACTCAAAATAATTTATTTAAAATAAACACACAATTTTCGATTTAATAATTCTGAGTTGTATAACTAACACAAGCTGTTTTTCATTGTTTAATATTGTGGTTATTAATTACTTATAAGTTATAACTCATATAACTCATAAAATATGTAATAGATTGTATTTATTATCATTATTATTATTTTTTAATCTAAATAATTAAACAATGACTTATAAATAAATTGTGAGAGCATTTTAATAGCCTTAGAAATTTATATATATATATATTTTTTTTTTTAAATTAAAATTTATTGTACAGAATAAATTAATATTTAAGCTATTATTGGATCCTTTCTTATATGCGAAGTTTTACGATGAACCGGATAAGCACAAAATTAATATTGATCATAATTATTTACACTATTATTATTCGTTAAAACGTATTATATATTTATTATAATATAATACAATGATCTTCAGTCTCATAAAATAAAATTTACGAGTCACATACTATTTATTAAATATACACAAACATAACCATTGTTATAATAATTACTTACAATAATATAATAAGTAATATTTAAATTACTGATATAAGTATCAGGTACACATTGTAAATACTACATACCTAAGTACCTACTCAACAATTAGAGTTTATGAAAGATGTTTACATTTTGTTTTGTTTATTATTTTTCAAGGTAGTAGTATTATAAATAATATTTTTATTTTATTTTTTTTTTTTTTTTTGAAGAAACAAAATCAAAGAATTTGTATTTTAATTTAACATATTATTATATATAAAATCAAGTTAAAAATATATATTCAGTATTAATATTTGTGTTATTATTATTATTATTAATCGTATTCAAATATATGAAATGAAGTACAATGTGTTAAATATATTTAAATTATTTAATTAACAAAAATTAACTAATTATGCAAAGCTAACGAATAATATATTTTTATTGTTCAGATGTTAAAAATACATATAATTAAACTCAAAGTGCTTTATGGGGTTTCTATGAACTAGTAGGTTAATTTAAAAAGTGTATTAACTAATACTTCTGAAGTACCTAGTTATTCGAAGTTATCAAAATTCGTGAATTTATTTTTAAATTGTTAATCGACATACGTCAAAAAATTGTGAATAATAGTTAAGACTATGTACATAAAACATATATTTGCAAATATACAATTTATTCAAGACTACAAATACAGTAGATATCTTATAGGTTGGTTATCTTACTGAGATGGTAGTGTTTCATTTCACTTATGATGTTAGAAATATATGCTATACGTGGGAATGTATCACAGGTATTTTCTGTTCACTTATGTCGATCGTCAGAACTAAATAGGTGATTGATGGTCTGATGGAGGGTTAATGAAATCCTTTAAGTTAGAAACATTGAATAGAACATAAAACTCTATAGGTCACTACATATAACTATATAAGGTATCCACAAATCGTGTCACTAATTCAATAATTAATAATTATAATACAAGTACACGAATTTTTTAAAATTGTTAAATACTAAAATAATCAGTTCAATTAAAATAAATATAATCATGTTTTTTGAAGTAGTTTGCATTTCCTGTTAATAATTTATTGCTCAACATGACTCTTTATCTTGTAAAACTACCATGTTTATGACCCTGCTTTCATTCTTTACATCTGTATTTACTCATAAATCTAGTCTATTACCATTTAATATTTTACACACTTATCTTTTATCGATATTTAAATTGTTTTTAGCTTTTGATTTTAAGTGGAGCAATTAATGAATTAGCTCAACAACGTTGAGTGTTTTTAAACTTTAAATGTTTGTGCCTGAAAGCATATTTTATAATAAAAATTTTCAACTCTGCGGGAGGATTATGATGGTAACAAATTGGATCTAATTTCTATACTTTGGATATCAAAAAGGAATCATAAGTAGGTCAAAAGTATGAAAATTTATTGCATACGTATGTATGTACTTTCCTTATATTTACAGTAATACTTCATTTGCTATTACATTAAATATTAAATAACATATTATTATTATTTAAATAGTTCGTCTTGGAATAATACATATAAAACAAAGTATATTTGTTTACATTGAACTAGTGAATTCTTTTATATCTTTGTTTCATAGAGAATTTGTTTATCCGGCCAAAAATCCGCCGTCGACAACGAGGGCTGTTCCATTTACCATAGTGGAGTAGTCACTGAGCATGAAAATCACAGCGTTGGCAATATCGTCAGTTTCTAAAAGTAAAATAGAAAAACAAGATTGAATATCATGAGTAATATTATGCAAATGTTCGTCGTTTAAGGGTGCGCATCGAAATTCGTTTTTGTTTCAACACACTCGTTAAATTGCGTTACACACATACCTGCAAATCTGCCCAGTGGGATTCGTTTCATTATCGGACCCGATTTTTCTGGATCTGACCATGCGATTTTACCCATGCGGGTCAACACCACAGTTGGATTAACGTTATTGGTACGGATACCGTATTTACCCAATTCGATTGCCATTGTTCTAGTTATTTGATTCACGGCTCCTTTAGATGCACAATAAGTCGTATGATCAGGTATAGCTCTCTATAAAAAGTTAAAAACAAATAAAATGTAAATTACGCCGTATAATTTATTGTAATTATTATATTATTGCGACACGACCAACTAACATCACCTAACCTGGCTGTTGTGAAGAGTGTTTAATTTGTAATTTTTTTTGTTTTTTTTTTTTTTTTTTAACGTACAAACGTACATAACGCAAACAGCTGATTTATATACAAAACACAAAACTCTTAATACTACTAATTTTTTTTTCTGTCACAAATATTATAACTTACCGTTGAAATTGTCGAAGATATATTTACAATAGATCCTTTGATACCGGCATCAATCATGTTTTTTGCCACTGCCTGACTTATTCTCACTAAGGCTCTTGCGTTTATATTTAAAGTCCTGAACAAAAAATACTTTGTTTATTTGAACTACACAATTATTTACGTTACTTATTTATTCTATTAAAAATTATTTGACAAAATTTTTTTTTTTTTAGAAAAATCTAACTTACATTTTAAACTAATCGAGTGTATTGTAGTTCATAATAATTTTATTATAGTATAATACAATACTATATTAGCTTGTACAATGTTAATTTTAAGTTCTAAGAATTTGATAAAAAAATTTTCTTTGCAAATTCAGAATTCAAATTTTACTCTTAAAATTCTAAATACTTTTATCAGACCAGTAATTAATTTTCAATAAACTGTTCAATTCAATATCATTTTTATTTCCATGCGTGATCATAATTATGATTATGATTAATTGCTAGTTCAAAGTACTCTACTTTCATTAATTTGTTTAATATATTGAATTATTAAAAATTATATATTATTAGTTAAAAGATTAATTGGTTTTGAAACGTAATAAAATCATTTTATTTATTTATTTTTATGATTTAAGACATTTGGATTTTTAAAGGTGAAACCATTCTAACAAGTTAAGTTTTTGTCAAAAAAATCTTATTTTTTAAAAGTATTTTAAATTATACCCATATTTTTCTAAAAATTTTGATCAAAAATTGTACAATTTTATTTCTAATCTAAATATTTAGAAAACTTTCTCATCGACTAATCTTATCTATATTATTCAAGTGAATATAATATTGACATAAATTAAAATTTTACTAACTTATCCCAACCGTGTTCGGTGACATCGAAAAATGGCTCTATAACAGCTACGCCGGCGTTGTTGACCAAACCATGTACTGGACCAATGTCGTACATTTTTTTATACGTATCATCCCAATTTGAAACATCGCAAAATATTTGTTTAGTATTTGGTAACGGTTTAGTAGCGCCATCTTCCTTCTCTACTACCGCGTAAACAAATGAACCCAAATCTATCAATCTCTCTGTAATTTTTTCACCCATACCTAAAAAATAATAATTTTTTCTCATTATCATTCATCGATTAAGTAAATTTATCAATTTTAACATCGACTTTAAAAAAACCAATTGAATTACTTAATCTAAAACTTATGATTTCATAATAATTATAGTATTAAATTTTAGTGTAGTATCATAGTATCGATATTATAACTTTAAATATTAATAATGAATGATAAGTATATAATAAATGTGAGTATACAAAAATAAACTCAATGATTGTTATTTTTTTATAAATACAACGTAAACTTTAGTCAAATATTGTAAATTTATTTTTATAAACATACATTGTGTATTATAATTTATATGAAGAACTCTAAATTTAAAAAAAAAACCAATAATATATTGTATAATTATAAATGTTTAGTTATTGATAATAAATCACTGATTATACTTTTTATGAAAACGAAAATATATGCTGAGTCACATAAACTATCACTAAAGTTTAATTGTTCAATGTTGAGTTAATGGTCACTCAACCTTAATTTAGTGGCCTATTCCATTACATTTTATTAAACATTAAATTATTACATTTGTATGTAATTCATCAAAACTCATCATTATTATTTTAAAATTGTATGTGTAGTACAAAATAAAAAAAATTTCAAGCAATCTAATTTTTATAGATTAATAAATTTTAATTTTATGATTACTTTAGATTTGAATAAGTTAACATAGTTATATTTTATAAATCTATATAAAAAATGTTTAAACATTAAAAAATATAAATTAGATATTATGGAACTACACTCAATACAGGTAAATTAAATGAAAAATTCAAGATTAAAAAATATTTTAATTTATTGTTAATTACTTCGATAAGACATATCCTGTTTTTGAGAGATAAAGAATTTCAAAATGCCGAAGTTTTTTTCCCAGATAAAAAACAGACTAATAATGTAACTATATAATTTACATATGAGTTATATCAAGAGCAATGAACTGTTCAATAATTAACGTTTATCTAAGTTTTCATAATGTACAAGTTATGGCAATGATACTGAAATTTGAAGTAGGTACTTATAGTACATCATACAATTTTTGTTGAACTACACTACGCAATTTTGAACCACAATATATTCTCTTTTTTATAATAGCCTAATTTTAAAATTTATCAGAAACAGAATCAAAATAGCCACCTAATTATCTTTATATTCTGATACATAAATCGACTGATTGAGTCTATTTCATATTATTATATAAGCACTTTCAGTGAATATATATTATAATAAGAGTACCAGGAGATATTATTTAGCAGTTGGTACTATTTAAAATATAAATATTTAATTAAATTGATCCATAATCAATATTTATGCATTATTAAAATGTTTAAATTAGTATTTCAGAACGTAAGATTATAAATATTGTTAGTCACAGCATAAAAAATAAAAGTAAAATTTCAATAAATTATTGAGATGAAATGTAGAAAATTATAAAAATGTATTGTAATATTTTTTGAAGTAATAAAACCAAACAATTTAAATCACAAAAGCCTGAAAGGAATCTTATTTTTACACTTAACAATATGTAATACGATATTTTATAATTTTATCATAATTATATATTAAGTAATTTTGTTAATATAGATTTCTATTATCATTAACATTGAAGTTTATAGATTTGAAATAATTGAAATTCATATTAATATATAATTCATTAAATTTAAAAGATTATTTCATAAGCTTTATTTTTTAATGATTTAAACGAATATGCTGTAGACATTTTTCCGGACAAACTCAAAGGACGGGTATAACAACTGTTACCTACTCCTAATAGACAAGACAAGGCAAAATTTATAAGGATGCTGAGTATTTCAGAGGATAACTTACTTTGTAAATTAAATATATATATATAATAACCAATATAAATAAGTTTTAACGATAGAAACGTTAAAAATCTAATTTTTTGGTATCATAATTTTTTCAATTTTCATTAGTCACTTCAATATAAATTTTGGTTTGCTTACTAATTCAATGTATTTGGTTGCGTACCTGTATCATCAATAAAACTAAATTTCAAATTATCTCGCATCACACTCATCAATTATCTATAAGTATATGGTATTTATATAAAGTTAAAATTAACGGTAAATAAACTTAACATTTGGAAAATTACTTTGAGAAAATATGGTATCTTATAGCTTAGTGATTTGAATGGTTACATATGTTTTGGTAAATTTAAGTACCTCTTAACTAATAAAATATAAATAAATCTCTTTTAAACATCCCCAATGAACATTGTATCCGAGAGTAACTTAAAATAAATAAAACAAATTATGACATAATTATTTACGCGTCCATGCCTGTTAATCGCTCATACATTTTTGTTGATGTAATATTTTGTACTTTACAATACTCAAGCATTATACAATACATAATAACTATATTAAAAATATATATATCCGATAAAACATAATATATAAAATTTACTGTGACATGATTGTATGACTAACCAGCACAAGATCCAGTGACGATAAACTTTTTGCCTTTGAAGTAATCTTCCATTTTTTGTGGTGCTTGACCAGCCATACTCCTAGATAGAATATCGACAGTCATTTGTCCAGTTATTTTATGAGATAGTTTGCATATGGAACGTAACATTGTGAGTATAATTTTTTTATTTGAGTGACTTCAATAAAATAAGTCTCAGTCTTATCAACAATTATCTGTAATAACATAAACACATAATAAATTTTTAAATGCTTTAATTTAATTCAAGTTGTAATCATGTCTATTTTATTATTTATATAATATTAAGATAAATACCTATATGTATATTATAATAGTTAAATATTGTTAACGTAATAAGAAACATTATTTAATTAAAGTATATATATCATTGATATGTATATATATATTCTTTTAAAGTAAATTATTGTAACAAATGTGTATAAGTATGTCGTATTGTAAAACCAAACAATAAAAATGTTCAATGCAGTTTTATTAACAACTAATGATGATTCTCCATAATGAATTGATTACATCTTATCGTGATTAAATATATCTATTTTTTTATCTTTAAATTGTTTAAATTATTTTACATACTCAACATAATTGTTTATATCTAACTTTAATTACACATATTGCGTAAATAAAATTATTTTGTGCATAATTATATTAATAATTTACTTAATTGAAATAATTTTTTCATAGGATATAATAATTATTGATAACTACTAATATGTTACATCGAAATTACATTATATTTTAACATCGCTTAACTGATTACCTATAATATTCTTGTATATTCTAGAATATTCTAGACTACTATGAAACAGTATTGTTAGTTGCAAAAATTCTAACAGCATTGATAAAATAAAATTATAAATGTCATAATATTGATATTACACTTTATATTATTAATATAATAAACTACTAGAGTGTGAATATTTTAATGAGCTTCCATAATGAATTTAAGAGTTCTTAAAAAATTATTTTAAAGAATGATAAGCTAAAAAGTGTAAGTATTTAAATTTTTAATTAATAGTTTGCTTCAAACAGTAAATCTTAGTTAGTGCCGTAAGATAATTATACTAAAGGTGAATAAGACAATTAAAAGTTCAATTTGTTAAGTTAATTTAAATGTAATTTAATTGATTATGAATATTTGACTTTTCGTAACTCATTCAGTAATATAATACTATACACACTATAGGTTCATTTAAAAAGTTGATAACCTACCCAAAAAAAAAAAAACTTTAATTGATAATTAATATAATATGAATATATGTAATGTTTCTTTATAAAATAGAGTATAATAATTAATAAAATGTAAAAATTGACAAAAAAAAAAAAACGATCATTATGTACTTTTTATTTTTATTACTTAAACGTTTAATTTTTTTTATGAGGTTTTATATTTTAATCATATAAAAATTATATATTCTATACAATGCGTCAATTTTTTTTTTGTAGGGGTGGACAGTTACAGCTAGGTTTGAAAGGTAATGACAACGAATATATTATTTTAATGTTTATATTGAAACACCTTTATAAACAATATTAAATTAAATGTATTATTGTATTTTAACTAACAATTAGATAAAATAAAAACAATTGTGTTGTAAAAAATACGTAAAATAATTTGGACTACAATATAAAATAACATAACAACTATATTTTCTTTAAAACTTAAATGGAACACATTGTATAAAATATATATTAAAATTAATAATACTTTAATTATATTTTACTAATAAATGCTATGTCTTTATTTTATTAAAATATCTACAAGCAGGGCATTAAAAAAAGAAATTGAAAATACAAAAAACTTACCACCGACAACGCCGATTGAAAACAATTAACTGTGTAACGCTACTTGTGGCGTGTAGAAAGTAACGAACGTATTTCAACTAACGCATGCGTGCTGATATAGTAAGCATTATTTTTTTTTTTCGTAAATTGTAGCATAGCCAAGCACTTTATGACGTCACAAATATGTGGGGGGAAATTTATGTAGGTTTGTAAAGTGAAAGAGGAGTGTATCTCAAAATGTATACGGTATTATAAGTATACTATGTTGTAAATACAAGTTTAAAAACGATTTAATAAACTGTGTAGATTTAGTCACTCGAAATGAATGTTACAATCAATTTTAACAAACCAAAATTAAATATTTCTATCTTACATTAGAAACAATAGAAACTCGTTGAATTATTACTTCTATTATTGAGTTTAATACAAAATTATACTTGAAAATTCCAAATCACATGTAAATCAAAATTATAAAATATTTAACATACAATATAATATACTTAATAAATGTTTTACAAAATTAAATACAATATGCAAAAATGAAAAAAAAATTATTTAAAAATTAAATTTAAAGGATAATTAATATAATGTATTTTGTGTAGTACTTACGTATAAATAATATTCAATTGAAAAAATATATTTAGAATAAAAAAAACATATTGTGTTTATTTTTTTAATTAAAAAAATAACTTTTTATATTTTTTGCCATTGCATTATATTATATGAGTATTAATATATTCAACACTGAAGATTTTAAAAGAAAATATGTTTCAATGGCTTCACTATCGATCTAAATAATTGTTATTTAATGAAGAAAAAAATAGTGCTTCGTAATACAATTTTTGACACTTAATTTTTTTTTTTTTTTTTAAACATTCGAAACAAAATGACCTACATATTGTATTATAACAGTTTGTACTGTTCAAATACTATTGATTTCAATCGAATTTGAAAAATAAACAATATCTGCTAATTCAAGGTTAATTTTAAAAAATTCTACACAATAGTATTTGTAAAAATTGACATGTAATTGTGTGAAACAGAATAATATTATGTCCCGTATTAAGATATTATGAGAAAAGAAAATTATTAACTCCCAAATGTGTTCAACATCTTGAAATAAATACAAATTCCAAAAAGTAAAAAGAATTCAAAAAAAATATATATACATTAAATAATGGCATTCACCTCTTAATGTATAATGCTATTTGAATCTAATTACCATATGATCAAGATTCGGGAATACCAACCTCACCAACGTATGTATATGTATAATAAAACAAGACGAACAACCATACTGCCATCAATGTGAAAACCCTTTACGATAAAATACATAGTCTTAAACTCAATACTGAAAGAAACATGCTATATCATCTATTAATAAAAAATGTTCACTGTACTCATGGTTTTTTTTTTTTTTTTTTTAATGAACAGTATGTATTTTAATTTCTTTTATAAGAAATACTTATTAATCTATCTGAATAACCGTTTTTAGTATGAGAACAGTATAAATAATCAATAACTTAAAAATTAAAGTTTAACATATATTCTCTAATGAATGATGCAACTTTTATTTTAGATTTGAAACAAAGAAATAAATATGTATATTGTAGAGCAAAAAATTTACTTTAAACTTTAATATTCAGAGTAGTTTCTTATTACAGCATTTTATCTAATTAGTACTTTGAAGAATAAAACTAGATGATCCCAGATTCCAGTCATTTTCAAAAGAAAAACTGATCTATTGTTGATTTAAAGTTCAACACGTTCATTTAAGTGATTTACTCAATAAGTATCGATTACACTTTAAAATCATTACACAGCTAAAAAGTGTTTTTTGATTATATACTCAGACGTGTGTTTGAAAAAAAATTCCAAAAATCTAAATCTGTTATTCAAATTTTTCAAATCTTTGCAGAAATTATTTATTTATTTTTTTTTTTTTTTGCTATTATAATTAATTTACGTTTAAAATTTTAAGGATAAACGGTACATATTATACTCGATTTCAGGAGGTATAAATTTAATAATATAGGTATCTATTCAACACTACCGTTATAATTATTATTAAATTTTAAACAGTGCGACATCGTGTTATCATTACTTATTGAAAATTGACCTCTATGATACTTCTATACATCATTAAATTAATATTTAATTTGCTTTGTTTTTATAAATTTAATTTTGTGTATTTCTATCAGTTGTTCTTCCCGTTTTATTTTTATTTTATAACACATCTCTAATACTTATTCAATTAAATCAATAAAAATCAAAAACATATTTTTATAGAAATAATAAAATAACATGTACAACAAAAAGTCTAAGCAATAAATGAAAATAGTTCATATAAAAATTAAGTATAAAGTTCTAAAAACATTAATTTTAAAGTTAATGACTAATTAAAAACCATTTCATGAGAAATTGTTAATTTGTACGTAAATATCCAATTCAAAATATGAAATGCAATCACTCAACAAATATTTATTGGTAATTTATTAATAATTTGGTTAATCGCCAAAATATTATTATACATTAATTGAATTTTTTAAATGTTAAGAATACTTTAGGCCTATAATATTTTCAAATATATACATTAACTGTGTTATTTAAGAATTATTCCGAGACGTTACAAAATTATTTTATTTAATGAGAACCATTTTTTTTTTTTATATATATAATTTTCAGGCAAATGATTTTTTAATCAACAATATTTATAAATTTAAATTTAAATTAGTCATTTCTGGATAAGTAATGCATTTAATTGAATAGACAAATAATTAGTAGATACTACCAAATATATTAATCCATAATGGTTATTGGATAAGAAGATTTATCCAATAAATATATAATGATTTCAAAATTAAAGTGTTATTAATATTAATTTTACCATTAACATTTCCTGATTTATATAAAATATATTGTCTATATAAGAAGTACTGAAAAAATAAATAGTTATATTTATTTTAAGTTTTATGTATAGTAATTAACAATAGAATTCGTCTAATAATTGTTAGCTAAAAAAATATATACTCGCATTTTTTCTTTTATAAATTTAAACTTTGATAAAGTCTTTTTCACACAAAACGTACATATTATATATAGATAGAAAACATAATAATATTAAAATAATAGCTAATAATCAAATAACACTAATAAATCATTCTAATAAAATTTAAAAGCGTAAATATTTATCACGCTCCACAAAGGTCGTATAATGTTAGTCAGGTACCTAATATTGACATTTTCAGTACAAATTCTACGTTTAAAATAAGTGTTAGGTAAATACAATATAATTTATGATATCGGGTTATAATCGTTCTATTGTACTTAGACAACTTGTTTACTATGTGTACAGAGTTCAGTCTGTAATAATCAATAGCTAACAATTTATAAGTTTTATACTTTTCAATATATATTTATGTAACAATACTAAAACTAATGAGCAGTTAACCTAAATTTAGATTAATTTATTTAAAAAATATATTTATATCGAATATGTAATAATACTTGTGATGATGATACTGCTATTCAATTTTTACAAACCTTGTATAATACAATTCATAAATGGATATGAATAGTCGTGAAAATATGTTAAGTACAGTGACAGGATAAAAGATTAAAGGATGATTGCATTGATCCAAATTTGCTCGTTACTAAAACATGATATTAAGTAGGTATTAAGTAGGTAGCGGATACTGATCAAGTATTGGATGAATTAAAATCCAGATGATAGTTTTAATTTACTTACATAGATAAAGTAATTTTTTCAATAGGTAAAATGTAAAAAAAAAAATAAATGTAAAAATGTCCACCATTAAAAATATTTCCGTGTAGGTAGTATATAATAGGAATTATTCATATTTTTTTATAAAATATATACATTATCATTAGCCATAAGCATTATAAACCATATTCATAAATTATTCATATGCATTTATATGCATGTATTTATAAACTTCATAAAAATGCTATTATAAAGTATTGTATAAATAATTTTATTGAATAATCGCTATTAACACTATTAATACTATTTCTTGATACATGGCAAGAAAATGCATTTTAAAAATAATTAGAAAAATGTAATTGAATATAAAATCATAGTGTAGCAAAAATCAGACTGCAGTCTATTCTGATATTTAAATTTGCTTAATTAACAACCTATTGAATTAGTTAATAAGTAATAATTCCGAGGTCACTTGGGAATTTCTGAAAAAAAATATATATAAAAAAAATTAACTTGAGTATAAAAAAAAAAATGGCAATTAGGACAGAAGCGCCCTCGGATAAATGCATTTTAAAAAGTAAAAAAAAACTTAATTTAAATTAAGTATAAATTATATTTTAAATAAAACTAGAGATTGCTATAAATTAAGATATATAAACCCAATAATTTAATAGTTATTAATTTTATTAATAAATGACTAACTCAGTGATTATAAATAATAAAAATAAATAAATGAATACAAAATTTAAGAACTTAAATATTATCTATACGGAAATAAATGAAGATAAGTTCAATGACATCCTTGGGTAAATTAATTTTAAAAAGGTTAAAATTTAATTAAATATTAAATTATGTTGTAATATAAACTTGACAACTATTTATAAAATAATAATAAAGTTCGTTCAATATTATTATAAAGGAAAAATAATTTCCAATATAAACCCTAGACAAGAAATACTGTAAGATCAACAATTATTTAAAATAAACAACAATCAAAAAGTAAAACAATTTAATCAACCATACAATTATGTTGTATTAGAAACCGATATTAGCTCCTTTATTCCAGCTCCTGTACAACTGAATATTTGTGCTATGTAATATGGAATAGAATATTATAATTTTTTAATTTAATATAAATTGTATTCAATTAAGAACTTAATAATGAATAAGCATCAATTTTTTCATAATTTTTGTCTTGTATTTTTCGTCATAGACACATACTTTTATTATTTTTTTTTTAATGCTTTTTAACTTTTAACTGATACAATAAGTAAATTTGATTAAAAGAAAAAAAATCATATAAGGAATACATGAACAGAGAAAATATCCATTAATATTATAAACATAAATACATACATTATAATAAATTACTTAAAATCTGAGTTCAAGAATTTACTTTTCTTTT